ATTTAGCCTTATTTGAATTCTTCCTGTAACATTTTATATACAAATTATGACAAAATAATAATAATATTAATAATATAAAACTAATAATATATTTGTATTAATATAATGATAAAGTTAATAATATTATTAGGAAAGTTAAATATACATAGTAAAGATTTAATTTTTAACAATATTAGAAAAACAATATTTAAGCATCGTGAAGAAGTAAAAGCAGTAGATCATTCTACAATTAACATTTTACATGCTTTGAAATAATAAAAAATAAAATTATTGTATTGCGTTGTAGTAAGTTAAGAATATTTAGTAAAAATATAAACGGAAAAGAAAGGGAAGTTGTACAAAATGAAATGCATAAATATTATAAAATTAATTAAAATTTACGCAATAATTTGTTTATTTTTATATTTATGTAAAATAAAGAAAAAATTATTGTTTATAAAATGATCTGATATTACGCGTCGTTGGGTTTAACTGCAAACGGATACAAATACTATGATGAGAACGCAGATAAACGGATAAGGAGACTAGAATAAAGAATGGCTACAACTATTCGAATGCTAACGTAAGGCCTGTATAGTTTTACGATGATGTTCACTAGTAAACGCAATACTACCCACTGACTCAACTTTTTCTTAATTTAATTACTTGGAATGTGTTACATTCTATAGTATAATAATTTTAATTTACTAATAATTTATCAATGACACTTAGTTCTTACCTATATGATATATATTTGCATAAGTGTTATACATGTATCTAATGTAAACGGTTTCATAACGATGAGTACTTTTCTGAAGTTATGATTTTCTTAATATATTTTTCCTTAACTATATTTTTTTTAATTATAATTTTTTCCAGACATATATTTTTATAAATCTGTGCCACAAAACATGATAAATACGTATTAATAATAACAAATATATATAAATATAGGCATGTATATAATGTGTATATATACATATATATATGTATATGTATATATGTATATATATGTATATATTTATACATATATACAGGGTGTTCCCGTATAAGTGGCCACCCCTTTTTATCTCGTAAACTAATAGAGATAGACTTAATAAATATAATATCAAATTAAATGGCTTTGACTAAACTTTACTGTAAGCATAGTGATCATTTAGAAATATTATCTATGTTAGAGAGCGGAAAGACATGATTAATTTTTGCACGATAAAGGAGATCGGAAGAGCACACGTCTG